TAAGACATTTTATAATTACTTATTGCAAATTAGATTAGAAGACAAAGAAGTAAAAGAGACAATGATAACATGGGCAAAAAAAATTGGTTATACAATAGAATTAGAAAGATGGCAACAACTATGGGACAGGAATTATAAATTAACAACGGCAACTGCATATAAAGAAAACGTATATAAAATGTTTTATAGATGGCATATGTCACCAGAAAAGTTAGCAACAACGTTTAAGGATAAATCAGCTAAATGTTGGAAATGTTTGCACTTGCCGGGATCATATTATCATATTTGGTGGTCATGTACAGAAGTAAAAAATTATTGGATTAGAACACAGACATGGTTAGAGGAAATGATACACCAGCGTATAGAATTAAAACCAGAAATTTTTCTATTGGGTATTTTACCAGAGAGATATAGTAAAGAAGATACGTATTTCATTATACACATAACAATAGCAGCAAGAATTGTATTTGCACAAAATAGGAAGGTAGAAAAAAATCCCGTTAGAAGGTGAAGTATTAAAGATGATTTTGGATTGCGCAGAAATGAACAGAGATTAACATTAAGAGTAAAAGATAAAGAGGAATCGGTATATTTCAAGACATGGGGACGATTTTATGTATGGTTAGAAAAGAAATATGAATAAAAGATGACAGATTAATAAATTAGACAATATGATGGTAAATGAGAGAGAAGACAAAAAGAAATAGAAACTCAGATGACACTTGTGTAAATGGAAAAGGAGGAGGGGGGGAAAGGAAAAAATATTACTACATAAATGTACAACCATGATTATATATAATTGGTAAAATAGAAAAGAATATGAAAAGGAAGTATATATTAATAGAAAATCGGGGCTGCTCGGATACTAATAAGGGAAATATTGGACAACAAAGGAGAGAGAATGGAGAGAGGAGTAGAGGATAAAATAGGAGGGGAGGAGAGAGAGAAACAGAAGAAAGGGAAAAGGAGAGGAAGAAAGGGAGGGGAAAAGAGTAGGAGAGAAGGTTAGAAAGGGGGAAAGAAGGGGGAAGGGTGAAAGGGCAAGGAGAAAAGAGGAAGGACAGGAGGAAAGAAGAAAGTAGAAAAGGATAGAAGACAGGGAAGGGAAAGAGAGAAGAAGGAGAAGAAAGATTGTTGTAAAATAAGGAAAGAATAAAGGGTAGAAGAGCAACCCCAAATATAATTAAAAAATCTTTTTCTTTAGAAAATATATGTATATGTGGGATTAATTACGGATAAGAGAATGTATATTTACAATATATTTATAAGAAATAAAATAAAAAACTTTTTTTTAAAAAAAAAACCTTTGCTTATGGGAAGCCAGCAGGGAAGGCTGAAAATGGTGACATAACTGCCAGATGCTGCAACTATCATAAGTATAAGCTGGTTTCCACATGTCCAGTTCACAATCATGTCACTCCAGGACTTTGAGGATTAATCATAAGTAGCATTTGTACAACACCACTGAGTGGTTTTTAACTAAAGACTATATTTATATAGTCTTTTATATTTTATATAAAATATAAATAGACTATATTTATATTTGAAGATAAACTGGTAACACTGAATCTCTTTATCTCTTCTTTATCTCCTCTAATAGGCAGAACTATTCTCATACTCCCAGTTTACCAATGTTTTTTTCTGGGTATTTCAATATATTTCTACCTGATTAGAAAATTCTGGACAATTGGTCTATTCCAGGTTCCCACTTCATCACATTGGACTTACGAGACATGTCTTCTGTATTGGTCATGCCTGCCCTGTGAATTGTTTTAACCTTCTTCTGTAAGCCACTTACTCTAATGATTGAGGTGGCATACAATATCATTATCTTTCAGTATTTAATTAAGACTATAATTTAATAGTAAATGAGAAGAAGTAATTGATTTGTTTTAAAATATTTTATATCAAGTACAATATTTTTGATAATATTCATTTAATGTATTTCATTTTAGAATGTATTAATTTTTAAAAAATTAGTTTTAAAATAAACAAGATTGAAAATAATATCCAATTTCTATGCATCCTGATTAAGGCAACTTTGAAATTTGAATAAGAGACAGTAACTATTCAGCTACAACAGAGGAATAGATATGGCAGGCTATCTTCATCTGTATCAATCACCCTGTTGTAGCCCACAACTTACAACAGTTCATTTAGTGACCATTCAAAGTTAAAAAGCACTGAAAAATGTGACTTATGACTATTTTTCACAGTTAACCTTGTAAGTAGCATCCCCATGATCATGTAATCAATTTTCCAATGCTTGGCAACTGGTTCATACTTATGACCCTGTGTTCCAAGGTCATGTGATCACCTTCTGACAAGCAAAATCAATGGGGAAGCCAGATTTACTTAACAACCTGGTTACTAAATTATCAACTTCAGTGATTCACTTAACAAGAAAAGTAAAAAATGTCATAAAAAGGGGGCAAAACTTACTTAACAAATGTCTCACTTAACCACAGAAATTTTGGGCTTGAGGACTACCTGTACTCTAACTGCTAGGATTTTCCCTGATGTTTCAAAAGGATTTGTGGAAGATTTTCTGATAGCCAAGAGATGGAATTAATCCCTACAAATTGTTTATTCTCCTCTTCTATCATTTATCACAGAGGATCGATAAGTGGAAGCAAGCAGGTCAAAAGTGCTAGTCACATTAATGCATTTCACCTCGACATGTAAATTAATCTTCAAAATGAACTCATATTTAGTAAATTCTACATGCTGAAGCAATTACTGTACTTTACTAGATGGAAGCAACACTTGAAATAAATTTGAATCTTTCCTGAATTGAAACCTTTAATAATAATACTGTATGACTTCCTAGGCTGTATCTAATTATTTTTATCTGATTTAGGAGGATAACTTTGACAGACTGAACTATCCTCCCAAACTCCACTTTTTGCACATACTCCAAATCTGCTTTGCAGGTTGCAGGCAAACCTATCATACAAACTGAAGATCAATCATGTACTGCTATACACAGCCATCTTTCATATAGTTTAGTTAGAATTATAAAAAAATACTAAATAATGTTTAAGCTGAAGAAACATCTGTTTGCTATCCAGGTTAAACCTGTTAATTACTGGTATATATCAAGCTTTCTTTGAAAGATGCTGAAGAGAATATTACTTTCAATTTAGTAAACAAATACATTCAAACGATTAAATCAACCTTAATGCTTTTCATTCTATTACAGAAAAACATTAGAATCAAAATAGCCTAAAATAAAAAATTAGTATTTCATTATTTAATAGGTCATTTTCCTGGCTAATAAAATAAAAAAGAAAGAAAGAAAAACAGAACAATAAAAACAGCTGCCTATCATCTTGAGTATTCCCTAGCTATATTTATGCTTGCAGTTTATTGCATTAAAACAATAATTACTAATTGCATTCATACTTTTAGCAATTCTCAAAAGTATGACGCAAAGGACCACAAATAAATTGATATTCCCCACTTCTCTATTCTAATAATTCAAAATTGAAAAATATATTTCAAGTCAGAATCAAACATATTAATTTGAGCAGATTTCCAATCAGCTTAGAACGTGAAGGATAAAGTACAAGGTAGAGCCAGACAATGCCATAAATCATGTTATTAACCATAATCTGTGGAATAAGATAAATTCAGATATTACACTATGCAATAAACCTTGATATAATCCACTATGATTGGTTCACAATGCTAAATTACAAACTAGCTTTATTATTATTATTATTAGCCCAAAATGTGAACCCACACCATATCAGTTTTGAAACCTGACAAAGGTGAGTAATGTAAGAGAAACTGTGAGTAGGAGAGAAGTAAGCCTGTGGGAATTCAAGCCTGTGTAGATCTTTTCTGATAACTGAAATAATGATCTGATTTGAATTACTAATTAACCTTAGTAAACTGTCAACAGTTCTGCAAGAGTATTTCTTTCAATCCAACAAATACCAGTGATCAAGTTAAGTATAAATTTATTTCATTGAAGATAAGCTTTAAAAAACTTTCAATAAAATAAGCTTGAAGATTTGAAGATAAGCTTCAAAAAACTTTAGTATGGATGGATTGTACCAGGAGCTTCTCCTTTTAAGGTGGTACATATTACATATCATATTTGACAGAATATGATAGATGCTGAGAAAGTATTTTCCTTCCTTTTACTGTCACAAAATAGAGTAAGACATTAAACTGCACTCCAGGACAACATGAGTACCACTGATAATGTAATTACTGTTATCAGGGTAAATCCAATTCCTCAAATATAGACATTAACCATGTTTGCAAGAAAAGGACAAAGTGCCACTTTTTTCCAGAGTTCTCCCAACAATCCACAATATTACACTACTCTTTGGTCAATCTTTATCAACTTGATATTTTTAGCTGAAATTGAACTTAGTACCCAAATAACAAACTGCTTAGCTGTTGCAAAGAGAGAGAGAGATGTAAACGACACAAGCAAAATGTTAAAAAGTTATGTTTATGTAGTTACTCATCAAGCACATCTAAATTTTATTAAAGTAACCAAAATATCTTTACAATCCCCAAGGCGTGTCATAACTTTTGAGCACCCCTAATATTTGAAAATTTAAATTTCCAAGAATTTCCAATAAAGTTCAAAAATTTGACACTCCCTAATGTAGAATAACGCAACCAGATCATATTTTGGACACATTCCCCATTACACTTAGGAGAAATTATTTCTTAAACTATTCTTTATAGCCCAGTCTACCCTCCTCCCGGAGACCGAAGTGCACCTTCTGCAGTTCCCTCTTCCCAGTTATTAACTGCACATCTCCAGTCCGTTTTTCTCCCCCCCCCGGCTATCCGTTCATCCATAAAAACCACAAAAGACGTTTCTCTACTCCAGTAACAATATACTGTATTGCATTACGTGACTCCAGATGGATGTCCTCGGCCCCTTCCCCGGATGCGCTGCCCGACAGATTTCCCCGGGCGCTCCAGAAAAAGACTCTGTCGGGACTGGGTGGGTGGGGGACCCCAGTCTGTACCTGCGAGCCCCGCTGCTCTTGCCAGCGCTTCAGCTGCTCCTTAGCGTGATCTCGATTGCCGGCCATTTTGGGAGACTCGGAGACCCCGACCCTAAAGAGAGACGGGACGCTGTCGGCTGGAGAGCGCTAATTTCAAAGATCTTTATTGCGAAAAAAGGGAGTGACTCCCCAAAAGTGCAATGTTCCAATCTCTACGGCTGCAACCCAGCTGCAACTGCCTATGAAAGCCAGCTGCTCAAAGTTCAACGGACCCGCCCCTGTGGTCCCGCCCCTCCCTTTCTTCATTGGTTAAGGGGGCACCCATCATAAAGCGCTTTCTCTGATGCTTATTGGGTGGAAGAGTCAGTCGGATAACAGATATTCTTTTCTGCTTGCAAAACAACACAGGGAGAGAGGGCAGCTGGCCAGCTTGTGGGCCTGAGAAGCGGTCGGAAGGGATGGAGAAGGAAAGGGGCTGCAAAGAGACCAATGTGGTGGGACCACGTAATTATTTAAATTTGTCAGATAAAACGTGCCCGGTAGCGTCCCTAAACATGGTGCTTGTCTGCTTTGCTGAAACTTTAATTTGCAATGTTTCCAACCAACATATAGTATTGGTTTCCCATCTTGGTGGAATTCAGTCTTCACTGCCCATAGTACCAAAATCAATCCAATCAATATCTATGTCTGTCTCTATCTCCCTCCTTCCCTCCCTCCCACCTGAACCCCACTGAGAGGACAGTAACAAGAAGTTAATGATTTTCTGATCTAAATATGCTTGCAAAGAAGTTTCTGTCTCTCCGTCTGCTTCTGGGATATTCTATCCCTCTCTTTCAGCAATGTAGGGATGTCCTCATCCTTGCTGTGCTGTCCACAGAAGGTAAGAAATAGAGGCACAATTACCGACAACTCACTCTCTCGAAATATATATACTCTGTGCCACTTGTTTCATGAACTAGGTGTAAGGGGTGAAAAACGAAAGATGATATATAGCATTATTAGGAAACTAAGCAAGAAATTTCATTCCTGCTCCTTACAGCTCAAAGAGGAGGAGGAGGTTGTGCTTCAGATTTCAGTGCTTTCTAGATCCTATCCCTGGCTTTGGGGAAGACTATCAGACAAATGTACCGTAGGCTTGACTACTATATAAAGAGCAATAATGGCAGGGCCCTCAAATGCATGCCCCTCCACTGATTGTATGCAGCCAGTTTTTTTTTTTCCCTTTAATTTATATGCCGCCCTTCTCCAGAGACTCAGGGCGGCTTACAATGTGTTAAGCAGTAGCCTTCATAGTTTTGTATATTTATACAAAGTCAGCTTATTGCCCCCACAATCTGGGTCCTCATTTTACCTACCTTTGAAAGGATGGAAGGCTGAGTCAACCTTGAGCCTGGTGAGATTTGAACTTGCAGTAATTGCAAGCAGCAATGTTAATAGATGTTAATAACAGTGCTTTAGTCTACTGTACTACCAAGGCCCCAGTTCCTGAGGAGGAGGCAGCTGAAAGTAGGATAGCAGAGGCTGATCTCATCAAGGTGTTACCAAACTTCCCATAGACTAAAAGGAGAGCATGGCTCCATATCCATACAAGGCAGGCCAAGAGGTTGCTGTATTCCTACTCTTACACTGGGGTGCCAGCACAGGCCAACCCTCAATAGTTTGCTATTGATAGTAGTAGTGGTATGCAGTTAGAACACTGGTCTGTTTGCTTGGGAAAAAGGCATTTCTATCCAGCAAAGATCTGCAATACCTGTAAGCCAGCTACTACATTACTGTTTTGCAGTAACTGAATTGATTTTTGTTCTGGGCTGCCACCACTTTAATTCTGTCTTAAATCTGTGAAGTCCCCAGGAGGTCAGCTCAACTCAAATGACTTTTTTCTTTTCATTATTTGATTTGGATTCCACTTTTTCTTATTGTTTATAAACAACTCAAGGTGGTAAACATACCTGATATTCTTTCTCCTATTTTCTCCACAACAACCCTGTGAGCTGAGCAAGTAACTGAGCAAGTAGAGTCATCCAACCCGCTTTCAGGCCTATAATAGGACTAGAAATCACAATCTGCTATCTCCTTAGCCACCACCTTACGCATTAGTTCAAACTGGCTTTTCTTTGACTTTTTAGAGAAAGTATATAAACACAAATTGAAAATAGAAAACAAATTTAAAAACCAAAAACATAAAGCACAAATGAGTATACATTTCTTATCTAAAATCAGAACAATGTCAAAAAAGTTGTAGTTATCCTTGTTTATATTACTTTAAATGATTAAAATCACGATTAAGGTTTAAGCAAGAATAAATATCAAGAACCATGACAAACACAGTACAATTCACCACATAAAATTATAAAACAGATTGAGTCAAAACTGAGAATCAGTTCTTTTAAAAAGATCACATGAAACTGAAATATGAACATTTACATAAAAGAATCAGTGTTGGATGGGTATAAATATATTAAGGTTTGGCCCAGCAATGTTTTCATTTTGAATTACATTCTATGTCAGATTTACTTTTAAAGTGAAATTATTTTGGACATTGAAACATACTTCTCCAAGTTGATTAAAAAAAATTCAAGAGGGAATTAAATCTCCTTTTCCTTAAGCATATAATATTCCTGTGTTAATTAATTAGAATTCAGTTTTTAAAATTTGCTTCATTCTAATTGGATGAGACTTTATAGTTTCCTAGATAATCTACACCATGGGTCGGCAAATTTAAACACTCAAACACTTGGACCCGTTTGCCATAGAAAAAAAACACACCGGAGCCACAAAACCTGGGTGGGCGTGGCCAACTCGATGTCACTCACTCATCCAGTCACATGACCCCCCCAGCCACGCCTACCCAGCCACAAAACCATTCTATCTCTCTTCCCCTCTTCCTATCTCTCCCTCTCTCCCCCATGTCTCTCTCCCTCTGTATCTCTCCCTCTCTTCCCCTCTCTCTGTATCACTCTGTATGTGTCTCTATGTCTCTCTCTCTCTCTCCCCCTCCCTGGCCATCGCCTTGCTGTTTCCTCCCCCACCCCCAACAGCTCTTTGGCTGAGTGCAGAGGGTGCAAACTCCAACCTGAAGCGGCAGGAAGCAAAGGCTGCCTTACGTGCAAATGTGGCGCGAAGGCAGTTTCTCTCCTGCACTCTCCTCCTCCTCCCACTCTCGTGATGCCCTGGCCGGCTGTGGCTGAGCCGGAAGCATGCGCACATGTGGGGAGACCCTCCTTAAGTAAGCCGCTGCTCACCCTGCGCACACCTTTCCTGAGCTTCAGCACTCGCTTGAGGAGGGTCTCCCTGCATGTGCGCACGCTCCCGGCTCAGCCACAGCCAGCCAGGGCATCACGAATGTGGAAGAGCCACACTCAAGGGGCCAAAGAGCCGCATGTGGCTCGCAAGCCGTGGTTTGCCGACCACTGATCTACACCATCAGTTGTCAAGAATACAAATACATGGTACATAATGTATCCCAGGATAAAAAAAATAAGGCAGATTGTTTTCATAGTGGTGCAATAATTTTTTGTCAGAATTCAAAAAGGCAGTACATTTTATGTTCTCATAATCTTTTCATCTTTGATTCATGCCTTTCATTTCATTTCTATCTAGTGTAAGGATGATTTTAAATATTAACATGGATATGGCTGAGGAAAGCTCAGAGAACTTTATGTGGTCCAGGAGGAAAATGTCTGATTTGTTATATAACCCATCTTCAACACAAATTATTTTGTGAACCATATCTTACCTATGATTTTATTTAGAGGGTCAGTTGAAACTAGACAGGCAAGCACAGAAGAGGAAGAAAGGAAAGGTTAGTAGCAGATGAAAGTTCAATGCAAATGAAACTCAGATCCCAGAGACAAGTTTGAGTTCAACCATGAATTATGTTCTTTCTACTGATGTTTTCTGCAAAGGAGAAAGAAAGAGTGCTCCTATCTGTTCTTCTCTCTGTCTCACAATAAATAGAGCAAAAACAGATACACTTTCTATGCATGGTAGCTTTTCCTTAACTAAAAGTTAGTAGATAACTACTTATCTAAAATAAGCGTTGTGCGTTGTGTTACAATTGCAAATAGATTAAAATAGTAATAGAATATCTTGCACTTGACAGTAAAAACTAGGTACAAGTTACAATTACGAATTGTATGAATACAATTGTCCAAAAAACTGCTTTCTACTTTAAGCGTTTCAAAGTGACTTTTCTGTTTTGGATGCTAGTTATAAAATGTACTTACAAAACATTATTTTATATATTACAATCAGTCATCCTACATAAAGATAAAGAGATGTGCAAAACAACACAATAAACATGCATGCAATTAGTGGTTTTATGTTTTTCTGAGCTTGATACAGTTTTATGTAAGAGTTTGCTTAGGGTTTAATGGAATTCATTGGGTTTTTATTTTATTTTATATGCAATTTAGAGTTTCATGGATAGATGGGCAGCCATATAAATTGGATAAATAAACAAATATTTAAATATAGAAAAAATGTGGAACAACTCCGCTTATAACTTTGATTTCTTCATGACAAAATAAAACTGTTACAATACTTAATCAGTTGCATTTTACTTTCACATGTCCTTCCTAGAGAGACTGATTGCCTTCTGGAAGCAGGTACCATTCTCACGATCTCTCAGAGAGGGGCAAGGTAGCCTCTGTAAGAAGGCCATGTGTTGGATCTGGTGGATGCAAATGATCTGCAAACTATACTACTGGAAGTCAAGAAACACAATGGAGGGAAAAAAGGGCTAAGTTTAAATGTAAAGAAAGCCAAAATAATGACACTGGATATAGCAATCAGAGCTGAACAAGGATACTGAAGTGAAGTGGTGAATAGATGCTGCTTTTTAGATTCAACTATCAACAGTAAAGGAACTAGCAGTGAAGAAATGTCATATTTTAGAATTTGGTGGGGTAGCAGTGAAGGCCTTAGAAGAGAGATTTTTCCTAAAGAGATCCTAAACATGTTTTACCAACAAAATTCAGAACTCTGCAGACAATTATATTCCCTGTGACACTCTGTGGTAATGAAAGCTGAACTCTGAAGAAGCAGGATAGACACATCACTGATGCTCTTGAATTTTGGGGGTTGGAAAAGATTCCTTGGATTAGCGTGGGCAACCAAGTAAACAAACAATCAGATCATAGAAGAAACCAATCCAGAGTTTTAGCTCAAAGCACAAGTGACCAGACTCCAATTATCATATTTTGAATACATTATGCAAAGACCCAGCTCCCTTGAGCAGTCTGTAATGCTGGAAAAGCTGGAAGGAAAGACAAGATAATGAACAGGAGTAAGGGGAATGGATTGAATTACAGTAGTTATGGGTACATCCTTGGAAGACCTGAAGGGCCAGTTTGGGCAAAGATAATCTCAGAGAAGATCTGTTTATGAGGTTGGTAAGACTTGACACAGATTTGATGGCACACAATCAATCAAATATTAGTACACATCTATCATTTCCTTTTGTCTCAGACTGAAATATGTTTTCTGTGGTAAATATTTCACAAAAATCATCCAGCAATTCTTCATCCTCATCAGAGATTTACATACCACTCCATCCCTATCTGAAGATGCCAGAGATTGAACCAGGAATCTTTTCCATATAAAGCACATGCTCTACTATTGAAACATAGGGGTTTTTTTTTTATCTAGTTATATAATCATCTCTTTCATAAGATTATAATTAAAAACAGACTTACTATGCTAATAGAAAATGTAGATATACTTGTACCTGACACATTGGCCTTTAAAAAGCTTGCTTATATATACCATTTCTTGGGTTGAATGAAAAGGCGCAACTTTTATTTTTCATTTATTGTTATTTTAATAGCATTGAGAGCCGATTACATTTGCTATTATACTTGCAAATCTCATAAATTGAGCTTGAGTCAGAGAAGTCTTGTTACACCAAGTCTCTAGATATACCCAGCCGGAGAGGGGAAGGGAGGGGAGATTGGTTAGTACTTTGATGTGTCACTATCAGTAAGCTAGATTGGGAAATCTCGAAAGCAATTATAAATTTTTACTGAATTATTATCAAGGAAACTACAGGATTATATCCATGGAGTCATCAGAACGTGAGCTTCACTCAAGTTCTGGATTTACTATTTGTAGAATTATATTAGATAAAATAACTAGCAGTTCATGTATTTCAGGGCAAACTGCTTAATTCTTAAATAAAAATCCAAATGGTGATAAATAAGAAATCTGGAAAGAGAGTCTCTTTCTGGAATACCTAGTATTTCAGGAAGCAATCTGTATTATTATTATTATCTTAAAATAAAGTTCAAACATTAATAAACTTCTGCCCCTTTTCTATTTAGTTGCTTATTTTCCTGATGCTAGGATTGAGTCCTAAAAGTCTTTTTTCCTCCCTATTTTGAGTTGGTCAGACTACATCCACAATATGCTAGGATAACATGAGAATGCTCTAGTTTGGATGTGCCAATTCACAATCAGAGAGCAAACCTACAACTATGCTCCACACGTCTTCTCAAATTGCCTGAAGCCAGGGTGAAATAACAAAGTTTACTGCAAGTCATTCTAGCTGACTCCTGGCCAACTTTCTTGCTGTCACAGATATCTGTTTTACAATAACAGGTTGCTTCTGATTACAGCAGTTTCATTTTTGGCATGTCTCGTGCTAGGCATGATTTTACTTCTGCCTTATCATCTGTTAAACCCAGGCATATTCACAACTGACTCAGAATGCAGCCTGTATAAAGGAGATTAAAAAACACTACCCTCAAGACTTGATAGTAAATAGTACTAGCACATAAGGGCTTCTCCCTTAATACATTCAGTTTCCTTAATTGACCTCCCAGTCACAAAGTGGAATGGTTGCTTCATATTGAACGTTCATCCCAGCATGAGATAGGAAAAGCAAATGTTTAAATTTGTTTTGGAAAGGTGATAGCAGATGCTATTCCTTTTCACCAACTTTATCATTTTTCTCATGAATGAAGGCAAATGTGCATGTCTCAGGATAATGTTGCAGGATCCATTATAGATAGGTCACACAGACAAGAGGTTTTGTCTTCCAAACTTTCAGACTAGTGCTGGACCCCATCTTCAGGGAACTTCTCTCTAGCAGAGTGTGTGCTGTTCTGTGTGTGATATTTATTGTAAGTGGCTTTTTAGATGTTGATGGCTGGCTTTTAAATCATGAGCTCTCATTTGCTTGTGCTGCCCAGCCCTCACCTTCTAAGAACTTGATGGGCTGGTGGTAAATCAGCACTCCTGTTGACTGATGGGGGCCCTGTTTCCCAGGCTTCAATCACTTCCCTGACTGTTTTTGTGCCTGCTCATCCAACAATCTTAGTAGCTAAAAAGTTGAATGTGTGTCCTTGTTCACTGCAGTGTGAAGCTACCAATGAGTTTGGATCTTGTCTTCTGACCACATGCTTGTGTTTTTGCAATCTGATGGTTAGCTTTCTCTCCCTCTGTCCTATAAAGTCACAAGAGGATTTGATAGATTACATTGGAAGTATCTCCCACCTCCAAGTGAACTTTGCAATGCATAATTTGTCTTCATATGGTAGCCTCTTGGCGGTGTGTGATGCCCACTTGCAGATCTCGGAAGCTGCGTTCTACAACTTCCGAAATGTTTTTGATGTATGGTAGAGTGTGCCATGTGGTTAGTCTTGTATCTTGTTTCTTCCTTTCTCTCCCAACTGTGTAGTACAGACATCTTGTGATGAATGATTGTGGGTACCTATTCTGCTTAAATTGTTCATGTAGGTACCTGCTCTCCAGCAGCAGGTACCTGCTCTCCTGCTGTTTGACATGCTGGGTACTACAGTGGGTTCTCACCATGCCATATAGTGTTCTGATGCAACTCTTTTTGTGGCCTTGTGATAAACTGATTTCTAGGCTTCTACTCTCGTCTACTTTACTTTACTTTACTTTTATTTGATTTGTATACCGCCCTACTCCCGAAGGACTCAGGGCAGTGAACAGCCAACCATAAAATACATACATACAAAATTTAAAAAGCAGAAATAAAATCAAATTAAATAATTTGGCCCAGACAAATTAAAACCCCAATCAATTTAAAACAATTTAAACTTTGAGTGTTAAAAATCTTAAAAATCTTAAAATATTAAAATTTTAAAATTGTTTAAAAAGAAGGAGAAAATTAGGCCAGGCCCGCCTGGTGAAATAAAAAGGTCTTTAGAGCACAGCGGAAGGTGCGCAGATCCGGGATCCTCCGTATGTCCGGGGGGAGCTCGTTCCAGATAGTAGGTGCCCCCACAGAGAAGGCTCTCCCCCTGGGGGCCGCCAGTCGACATTGTTTGGCCGACGGCCTCTCTCTGTGAGAACGTACCGGCCGGTGGCAGGCTATTGGTGGTAGTAGGCTACTGTCTAGTAGTTGTCTACTGACAAGTACATCTAAAATGGCAATTGCCTAGCTGCTTCTTCCTCCATTGTGAACTGTATGTCAGGGAAGATGGAGTTCAGTATGGTATGGAAGTTTTTAAGTGCATTTCTCTTGATGATGACAAATGTGTCATTCACGTAGTGGCACCAGAATGTAAGGGTGTAGTTCTGAAATGCACAGTGTTCTACTTCATGCAGGACTGTTTCTGCAATGACTCCTGATATTGGGGATCCCATGGATATCCCTTTTATTTGTTCATGCATTTCGCTACTGAATGTGAAGAAGGTGACAGTATTGAAGTAGCTTCATGTGTCCTGGTTAGGTTGTTCTGATCTGTGTTGTACTCTTTTTCTATCTATTACATCATATGCCAAGTGGAGAGGGATGGATATAAATAGGGACACTACATCAAAGGAGATCATGATCTTATCAGGAGCCACATTTAATCATTGTACTTTCATCAGAAATTGTATGGATGATGTGACTGTGCTGTTCAAGGATTGGGTCAGGAAGCTTAAACATTGTGACAGCCATTTAGGCAAGTTTTATGTAGGGGCATCTCATAGCACCACAATAGGTCTGAGGGAGATTCCAATTTTGTGAATCTTGGGGAATCCGTAGAATCTCACTGGGGCCGCATCTGTTCCTCTCATTTTTCACCATTCCTTCTCCGTTATGCAGTTGTTTTGTTTGAATTGGCTGAGATAAACATTCAGTTGGGTGACATTTTTCTCATCTGCATTCCCAATCCACATATTTAAAATTGTCTGTACTTGCTTCTAAGCTTAACAAAGTTTGAGTTGCACTTTGATAATAAACTTTTTACCTATAATAATCCCATAAGAAAAAAAGATTTCCTCTGTAGGCAGAATGTGAGGAATAACAGAAGAAAAGCAAATTAGAGATAGAGAAAAAACATTTCACCTATTTATTCAGCATCTTCAAGCTTTTGCAGTTACATGGTATACATGTCATACATGTGACAGAAATTATGAAAGATTGCCTTTTTATGCTTCTGAAAGTTTGTAAGTGCGAAAAAAGTACTTAGAATAAGTAAGCTTACTGTAAAGCAAACTGCAAATAAATGAAACACTTGTTTTGTAAAATCTGTTAATATTCCTTCAGCAATCTCTAAACAAGCACATAAGTTTATTAACTCATTGATTTCTGAAGTCTATTCAGAATAAACCAGAGATGGGCATCCCCTTTGTGCCAAGAGACACATTTGGAATTTTCATAGCAGCTGTATGTGCTTTCACGGAATGGCTGTCGTAGTTGGCATGACCATTCATTTATTTTAATTAAAGCAATCTAAAAGAAAATACTCAGACGGGGCAATTTTAGAGACATAGACACAATCATATTGGTATTCATTCAGCACAATGCTGCCAATCTCTAAACTACATCAGGAATATGTATGCAGGCCTGCTTAATAAGAGATATCTCAGTAGTAGAGCTTCAGGAGATGATCATTCCAAGGGAACAACTCAGCCTAGAGATGAGGAGGAAATAAACATAAAAGGTTGGTATTTGTAATCACTAAAAGTGAGGTTCAATAGTGCAGTATACATCTGGGACAATACTTTTTTGAGACCGTTATATTTGAGAAGAAAAATTTTGCAAATTTTGGAAAGTTAAAAACTTTTTTTTTAACTTTCAGATCCTGAGGTGTCAGGCTCCAAACCACAAGAAACACACACTGAGGTTCTTCTAAGCAATTTCCTGCATTGTTCCTTGCCTATAAACAGAAATCTTGCCAAATTAAAGCAGACTATTTACACCGTTAAACATATACTCTGAGAATTCCTATGATTCCTAAACTTTGCTGACTTTTGCTCCTTTGGATTGCACTCCCTCCCTCCTGGGAATACAGACAACATTCCGCCACAAGAGAGATTTGGAATAAAAGTTTGAAATTAATTATAAACGTCCTTCCTGTGGGAAACTGGTTATGTGAGTTCTTTGTAGGAATAAATATGATAGGATAGGACTTTGCAATGTGGGCAATAGGGGGAAATAGAAAAAAAAAGATTACAATTAAAGAGAAGAATATTTAAACTCCACGTTAACAAAGAATGGAGCAAAATACTGTAACAATGGATGTTCTGAAGGACATTTTTGAACAATAGACTCAGAAATTAAGAATGTCAGATACTATAGATAGATGGTATGTTAATGATGTTACAGAAGAAGAACAAGTTATACCGGATAAGATTGAAATTGATTTGAATGTGGATTTAAATACAACAAGTTACAAAAAGGATATGGAACATGATATATATTGGTTACACAAATGAAACCAGTTGATGTCTTCATATTTAAAGGGGTCATACAAGTATCAAACTAGAAGAGTGATTTGGATAAGTTTTTCTTCTTGTACGTATGAAAGAGATTTGTTAAAGTCTTGAAGAATTCTCTGAAAAGGGTCAAAAAGAATAGAAATAAAGGTTTTGGATATTATTTGAAGAGATTAAAAATCAAGATTGTTAAAAATAGAAGGAATATTGTCAGCCCTCCAGGTATACAGGAAATACAATTAGATGAACTAATTCTACTTTATTGCAAGGCTATATTAACAGAATTTTGCAAGTGTGAAAGTACAAACTTTCTGCTACTGGTTTCAACAGTCTGGTCAATTAGGAGGGTTTTTTCCTAAAAAATTTTCTCTGACTTTTAAGCCTTCAGGGACTCCTGCCCCCCCTTTTTTTTTTTGGTCTGATTGTTTCCTAGGCAGTATCTCTTCCCCGCTGTCATCCACACTTTCCTTTACAAATATAGTTAGTTTATTTCATCATGGTTAAAATAGACATGTAGTAATTTCTGAACTTTTGCTAATAAAAAACAAATAATGAGGTTTTTGGATTTTGTATTTAGTTAACAGGTGAGATATGGGATGAAGAGTATATTTGTCATATTTTAAGAATTAGTGATAAATTACTAAAATTGTTTATACTTGTGATAAGGGGGAAATTAATTTTTTATAAACTTTTCTTTTTATTTCTTTTCTACACTTTTTATTCTTTTTTGTACTTTGCATTCGTTTTTATATCTTCTAATTGTAATTTTCAATAAAATTACAAAAAAATGAAGCTCTGAGAGGAATGCACTAATATGAAAATAAGAACTTAGCACAGTGTATGTGTCCAGCTGCTTTCTTTTAAACCATTACAGGTTTAAGGCTGGTATTATAGTCTATTTATTATGAATGAAATGACATGGAAATACAAATTACAAAAATACTGGAAATCATGGCTTCAGATACTTACTTGCTTCCACTACTTAAAACCACATTAATTTTGCCAGGACTTATCAGCATATGGAAAATGCTACCTTGAATGAATTGTAGACTGAAGCCAATAGTACATTATGGTGGAAGGCCAAACCTTGCTACACTATGAATGACACTCTCTCTCTTGCATTCTCTACTTAATATACACAAAATTATTTCCCACTTATGACTCTAACAGATGCTCCAATAATTAGATCTACCTAATGCTTTCTGATTTAGAAGTCTAGCCAATTGAGCTAGTCTTTGCAGCAGGAGAGGAAAAAAGAAAATAGGTTTCAGTTGAAAACTTCACTGCTTATTTGAAAGTCAGTGACAATCTATATTATCTGGAGAAGCAACGTGAGAATGGTGGACATTTTTTTTTGTTTTAGCATATAGAAAGAAATGAGGAATGCTATAAAAAATAAGTAAGGGAAAAAACCTACACACAGACACACACAAACACATATTCCTGAGCAGAGCAAATCAATTCAACATTGAAAAACCTGAGTGACACTTTTTTTTCCTGTATCCCATGCTTAATAACTCCTCCCTTCTTTCTGTATCAATAAAATCCAAACTTTTGGTATGTAATTCAAAACCACATTCATAACTTTAAACCATTTTTTTTTCTAAAACCAGGTTAACAAACTTACAGGTATTAAACCAAATCAGATCATAGGAACAAGTTGTTCATGTAGGATGACTGATTGAAATTTGGCACCACATCTAGAGCAAGGGTGTGAAACTGACGTCATCACGGTGGCGTCACGTGACATATTGTGACATTTTTTGCCCCTTCGCTAAACCAGGTGTGGGTGTGGCCAGAGTGTGATGCATCCAGCCCGCAGGCTGCAAGTTTGACACCCCTGATCTAGAGGTAAGCATCATTTTTCACCAGGGAGTGCATTTGGCCTAAGTTCCTAATTGTAATAAGCCAGCAATAGTAATTCATTTTTAAAGCACTATACTATACTTTACTATATAAGATACTATAAGATAATATATAAGATACTATATTTTAACAAGGACACTATTATATTCAAATATTAGCCTATAATGCTAATAGAAAGACATGGAAATGGTATCTTCTGAATAATTTGCTACTAAATATTTGTAAATGTAGAATATAATGTGCCTTTCTTGTGTATTAAATGCCATCTGCTGGACAAATTAAATTATTCATTGAATTCCTCATTCTTCAAGTTTCACATCAGGAATATTTCCTAAGAAATTAATACATTATGATAGATTCTTAAGAGCTGATTTGGGAACCTATTTGTCAGGATGCTTCACTTTGCATTCCTGAATTAAGGTTGAACTCAATGGCTAAAGAGCTTCTTCTCAATCTATGCCACCTTTGAAAATTAATTACCTAACTTCTAACATTATTTTACAATTTTATCTGAACATTCATGTTGTTTGAATAGGTCATTCGACAATGGATTCATTATTTTATTAGCAATGATATAAACACACCTCATTTTCACCATTGGAATTACATTTTTGTAGAATAAATATTTTTCAACAGATGTAAAAGTTGTTTGACCAATGGGATAGGAGAAATATATTTACTTTATGGTAAACAGAATTTGGATTAAATTCCTTTTTTAAAGTATGTCAACACTTTAATGATAATGTTGATTTTATGAGAAGTAACACATGATAATCACGAGAAAATATCCATTTGAGCATCTCTTTACATAAATCATTCTTGCCTGTTACTTAAGTCTGTGATCCATATAAAAATATGATTGCCTATTAACAGTGAAAAGAAGTATAGCTTTCTAGAGAAAAGATGGAATTCATGTATAATTACATAGAAATAAACATGTGTTAGAGCTAAGCTTTCTATTCTGCTCATATTCCTGATAAAATGGGTTTTGGCCTGGCAAACAATGATGTTAAAATACCACAAAATTCAGTTGCCTCTTTAAATTAATCTTTGAAAGACAGACCAAATTTAGAAGCATATGTCATGCAAAAAGCTTCCTATAATGAGGAAATTTTCCTAAAAATATTTGAAATTCAGCATTTTTAAAAAATAGCCTGGGATAGGGAAAGAAATCTGAATCAATAAGGATACAAGGCGGAAGGACTTTATTTCCCATTTATACCATTTCTCTTATTTAAACTGGCCTCTCCTAAAATTAATTCGCACATGCATTATATATGTGAAGCTTGTGGAATTATGTCACGGGAATTCCTCCCAAATTTAAGAGAAGGCACCATATGTCACAAGATTAGATAGTGCATAAAAACTCTCTCTTTCTAGGAATCTTAACTTTAGTTCATTCAGATGTGGGGGTTGTTTTTTTTTAATTTGATTTATATGCTGCCCTTCTCCAGAGACTCAGGGCGGCTTACAATGCATTAAGCAATAGCCTTCATACTTTTGTATATGTATACAAAGTCAGCTTATTGCCCCCACAATCTGGGTCCTCATTTTACCTACCTTTGAAAGGATGGAAGGCTGAGTCAACCTTGAGCCTGGTGAGATTTGAACTTTCAGTAATTGCAAGCAGCAGATGTTAATAACAGTGCTTTGTTGTGTTGTAGGATTTAATTTCCCTTCAGATTTTCTTTTTCCAATATCAGAGCCTACTTTGAGGCTTTAACAAACCTCTTTTGTGAATTCAGTAATGAGTCATTGTCCAGGTCATTCTCTGTATTGTTTGTATTTTGTTTGTATTTTCACTCTAACACTGTGTTATAATCCATAGGGCATTTTTTTTTTTATTTTCCAGTTTTTTGAACAATTTATTTATATTCTAACTTTTCTGCGTCAGATAAGACTTGTTTCAGCATTTTAGGTCTCACAAAGTATTCTCTTTAAGATATGTTATTTCTTTTTAAATAATTTTTGGTCAGTCTATGCATAGAGGCAGAGGACATTGATGATACTGTAGCTTCTAGTTTCTGACCCTATTCTTCAAAAACCTCTTGGAGTATTTCAACTTTTATGCCATTTTTTGTCATTTTGCCCCATTGCTGGCTAAAAACAAAAGGCAAATTTCTCTCTCTCCCCCCCCCTTTCTCTTTATGTCTGGAATCTTTAGTCCCCTCTAATGTGAAGACTGTAAAATCATAAATTCTTCAATTTAAAGTAGACTATCAGTTTGGTTGCCAGAAGGTGCTATTTATATAAATAATATATCCTTGGATTATATCCATGGAGTCATCAGATCTTGAGCTTCACTCAAGTCCTGGATTTACTATTTGTAGAATTATATTAGATAAAATAACTAGCAGTTCATGTATTTCAGGGCAAACTGCTTAATTCTTAAATAAAAATCCAAATGGTGATAAATAAGAAATCTGGAAAGAGAGTCTCTTTCTGGAATACCTAGTATTTCAGGAAACAATCTATGATTATTATCCTAAAATAAAGTTCAATCATTAATAAACTTCTGTCCCTTTTCTGTTTAGTTGCTTATTTTCCTGATGCTAGGATTGAGTCCTAAAAGTCTTTTTTCCTCCCTATTTTGAGTTGGTCAGACTACATCCACAATATGCTAGGATAACATGAGAATTCTCTAGTTTGGGTGTGCCAATTCACAATCAGAGAGCAAACCTACACCGATGCTCCACACGGGTCTTCTCAAATTGCCTGAAGCCAGGGTGAAGTAACAAAGTTTATTGCAGGTCACTCTAGGCGACTCCTGGCTAACTTTCTTGCTATCTGTCACAAATATGTGTTTTACAACAACAGGTTGCTTCTGATTACAGCAGTTTCATTTTATGGCACGTCTCGTGCTAGGCATCCTTTTTATTTCTGCCTTATCATCTTTTAAACCCAGGCACATTCACAACTGATTCAGAATGCAGCCTGTATAAAGGAGATTAAAAAACACTACCCTCAAGACTTGATAGTAAATAGTACTAGCACATAAGGGCTTCTCCCTTAATACATTCAGTTTCCTTAATTGACCTCCCAGTCACAAAGTGGAATGGTTGCTTCATATTGAACGTTCATCCCAGCATGAGATAGGAAAAGCAAATGTTTAAATTTGTTTTGGAAAGGTGATAGCAGATGCTATTCCTTTTCACCAACTTTATCATTTTTCTCATGAATGAAGGCAAATGTGCATGTCTCAGGATAATGTTGCAGGATCCATTATAGATAGGTCACACAGACAAGAAGTTTTGTCTTCCAAACTTTCAGACTAGTGCTGGACCCCATCTTCAGGGAACTTCTCTCTAGCAGAGTGTGTGCTGTTCTGTGTGTGATATTTATTGTAAGTGGCTTTCTAGATGTTGATGGCTGGCTTTTAAATCATGAGCTCTCATTTGCTTGTGCTGCCCAGCCCTCACCTTCTAAGAACTTGATGGGCTGGTGGTAAATCAGCACTCCTGTTGACTGATGGGGGCCCTGTTTCCCAGGCTTCAATCACTTCCCTGACTGTTTTTGTGCCTGCCCGTCAAACAATCTTAGTAGCTAAAAAGTTAGGTTTATCTGTACTTTATATAGAAGTCCTAAAACTACGAGGCAATTAGGACCAGAATTTCCATCACTAAGCAATAAGTTTGTAAAGCATAGCATCACATGACAGCATTGCTGAGAACAGAGAGTAAGATTGGGATCTCTGGGTTATTACAAATAATTTTAGGAGTCATTCCCTGGTCCTTTTCTTCACTTGAGTTGGTTAATCAGGAGGTTGATTTCTGTGCATGATGCTGGGAAACACAATGGAAGCATATCAGCTTCCAATTTGAATTGTCTGGAACAAGGCTCCCTTTTGTCCATATAAAGAATGAAAGTGTATCTCAACCCCAAACATCATCTGGAATGATAAATGATGAGCTAGTAAGGTGATTTGTTAGCTGTAATATTATAAGGTGCCAAAATTGTGAGGAGGTCCAAGCTTGAGCTTCAGCTATCAAGTGTTGCCAGAGGGTCTCGGTTGCTTCCCTTTTCTTCTTATAGAGTAATTGTTTGCAATGCTTTTTCTGCTGTAATAAATCATTAGTAGAATACAGCAAAACAGCCTTCTTATCAGTTGTTGAAAAGTGTTATCAAGGCTTTCTTAGCTCTGAGGCAATCTGAGTCAAAGCAATTTTGTGAACAAAAAACCTGATTTCTATGCTTTAGGGGGAAACTGATGTAAGATCTGGTTGTAATAACTGTTAAGTTGAAATAATGATTTAAAATGGACTCACCTGTTAGTAATAATTTTTTCTTGAATTCACAGAGCTTGGACAGGTCAGTTTTTCCCCGAAGCAGGCAATCCTGCAGAAACTTGGATGCCTGGTCATAAAGAACTTTATAGTTGCAGTCAGAAGCCCATGGCAAGCAATGCAGTTTCATAATACCACTGTTATATATCACTGGAAGCTCTCTCCCATCACTAATGCATTCTGTACCATTACATCTTCAAAGGGACATCTTCAAAGTCAGCCTCCCCACGATTCATAAATTGCCTCTCCATCCTCTCCTCTCCCACTATTATCAAGTGAAATGAAGCGTCTCTGACTTCTAGACTCACAGGAAGGATTCTAAGACTGATGAATGAATGAGCAAACATGCTAATAATGTTGAGGCTTTACTCCACCTATTTGTATTTTGATTCAGGTCACCTACTAGGGCAGTCAAGATAGTTTGCATCTTATGCCCAGATTTCAAACCAATTGAATATGAATTGAATATCTAAAAATTAGCTTCTTCTACAACATAATTCAGTTGGAGGGCATTCTTCCTAAAAAGGGAAGGTTTAAAATAGTTTTAAAAGTTATCAATAATTACTGGTTCCAGGGAGAATCTCTTCAAGAGGGGGACACCACCACCTCCTTCAAAGCAGGGGTGAAATCCAGCAGGTTCTGACAGGTTCTGGAGAACCTGTAGCGGAAATTTTGAGTAGTTCGGAGAACCGGCAAATACCACCTCTGGTTGGCACCAGAGTGGGGTGGGAATGGAGATTTTGTAATATCCTTCCTCCAGGAGTGGGGAAGGAATGGGGATTTTGCAGTATCCTTGCCCTGGAGTGGAGTAGGAATGGAGATTTTGCAGTATCCTTCCCCTGGAGTGGGGTGGGAATGGAGATTTTGCAGTATCCTTCCCCTGCCATGCCCACAAGCCACGCCCACCAAGCCATGCCCACAGAACCGGTAGTAAAATAATTTGGATTTCATCACTGCTTCAAAGCAGTAGGCATAACTGCCTTATTAAGACAGCCACTGACAATCCCCAAGAGCCAGCCCCTTATATTCTTTTTGACTTCCCAGTCAAAACCAGCTTGGGTTCCAGTGGCCAAACGTCTCACAGACATTATCCTATTCACTTCCCTGAAGTCCACAAGTTGGAAGAAATTAATTCTAGCAAACATCACAAGATGCCAGCCCAGTCACCTTCTCTGAGCCCATCCATATAGAGTCAGAGCAAATTTGAGCTATTTTATTTGCAAAATTTTGTCCCAAGATCTCAACCTGTCCCTTGGTAAAATCTTCCTGTCTCCCATATCTCAAGGGGGGGGGGGTGTTACTCTAACAGTAGAGACATAATACCACAATAAGCCTGTTTTGATACCCTTATTGCCATGATACAAGCATCAACATGAGGCTTACCCCTGTCTAGTCCGACTTACTTCTAATCTTTTTCAGTGACTTTCAGGAATCTCTTTGTTACTTCATTTCCAGAAGTTCCTCAGGTTCTCAATTAACCAAGGAGCACTCCCACTTCCCACTCTAGAAGCAGCATATATCTTAATTGACCCTTCTGTCCTGCACAGCCCTTTGGTAGCAATGAGTTTCAGAAAAATCAAGGAGGAATGTGGCACGGCAAGCTTTATGGCCTCCCAATTGTAGACCACTTATCAATGCTTTGAACTGAATATTAGATCTGAAGTAGATCCCTGCATGCATCAGGCCAAAGGTTATTGTAAAACAAGTCATAAACCACTAAATTCTTTTATAACTATCTTTCAAGGCATGAAGGTTGCAATCCCTTAGCACTTAAAGCCAGCACTACCTGCCCCAGGATAAATTTCAGGAGGTGAGGTTGGGACTTGCTATGCAGCAAGGTGGGCATTATCCATGCAAGATTCCCAGACTATCCTGCTGACCCAATGACCCAAACAGACATTCACAGTCCATCACTTTTATGGTATCCATGCTCTTCCATCTTCTATGATAGTAGCATTGTCCTCTGAACTCCTAGGTCAATTAGAATGCACACAGGTTTTCCAACAAAAAAATATTTTTTCAGAATGAATGCCAGATATATAAACAAGCCGCAAACCTCATCCTCCTCTGCACTGATTGATAACAAAATGTCTGCAGAAAAACAACCAAGCTCAGAGAACACCAAGAATCCAATGATATACAATCTGTCCTTCCGCATCTCAGCCCAGTCTCCTGGTGTTATCAAAACCTGCCATGGAATTTGTGGCAACTCCTCAAACCCTCTAAGATGGGCTGCTGCCTAAGTCCCCCAACTCCAAAATTGTGGCTCCTATTCAGATCTAAGCAGGAATATGTTCAGACAAATCCCCCTGGTGTCTATGTCTCTCTCTGTTATTCAATAAGTCAACTAGTTACTGAAGTCTCTTACTGCTCTGTACCTGGCCCCTTATTACGCCACAAAGCAGAGACACTATGGAATGCTGGAAGCCTACGGCAGCTCACTTCCAGTAGATGTAAGGTGAGTTGGGCTAAGAGAAAAAGACTGGCCCAAGGTCACCCAGATGGCTCTCATGGCTAAGGTGGGATGAGTCTTCCACTTTCAATCCTGGTGCCTTAACCACTAGACTAAACTGGCTCTCTTTAATCCAACTTTCCTCTCTCTTTCTCCTTTCTCCTCCAGCCCCCTCCCCTGAAGATGGGATTTTCCATGCTGGCTGGGTAGCCCACTTGCTTAATAGCCAATGTGAGCATAAATGCTCTTTGAAGTTGGCCACCATAACCATCCTATACAGAAACTCCAAGACAGAGCCCAGAGTGGTGCATGACTGGGAAAGGTGTCTCTAGCAATGTGAAAGGCTGCACCATGCTGCATCAGCCTCTGATCTTGGTCTGTTCAACAGAGCAGTGGTGAAATTCAATTTTTTTTACTACCGGTTCTGTGGGCGTGGCTTGGTGGGCGTGGCAGGGGAAGAACACTGCAAAATCCCCATTCCCTCCCCACTCCTGGGGGAAGGATATTGCAAAATCTCCATTCCCCTCCCACTCTGGGGCCAGCCAGAGGTGGTATTTGCCGGTTCTACTCAAAATTTTCGCTACCGGTTCTCCAGAACCTGTCAGATCCTGAATTTCACTCCTGCAACAGACCCTCCTGACAGGCAAAGCAGAGACACTATGGAATGCTAGAAGCTTAGGGAAGCTGACTTCTAATAGATGTGCACTATGACATCCAGATGAGTGTCGCTCTGCTCTTAAATTCTTCAAGTGTGGCATTTTTGGAAACAAATCTGGACAGCAGGATAAGCTCAGCCAGGTGACTCCAGGCGCCACTGTATGGATCAGGAAAAACAATGAAGGCAAGCTTCAGTTCATTCTGTCCTCTATTCCTTCAAACCATTTCTTCTACCTCACTGAGTACCACCTTTATTTTCAGTCAAAATGATGGTAGTCAGGAATCATCGTTTGCCAGCACTCCCTATATTTTAATTGCTCAGAGTAATTATTTTCTGTTTTGATTACTGAAGATAGCCTGTTTGTTATCATCAAAGTCCTGCTGCCATATTTTTTCCTCTAATGAAGAAGCTACTGTGATGGAATTTCCCTACTGATTGACAGCATTTATATTTGGAATCTTATTTTGAGCGTTCTGGTGACAGTGAGAAAGAAAATGACAAAGTAACAGGATTAAGGCATTGCCATCATAGTCCTGAACTGGTGCATCCTATTACCCTAAGCAAAGAAATAAGAAATGACCAGAACATAGGTGAGATCTTCTAGCACTTGTTGATCTCATTGTAGAACTTTAAATAATGGATGGGTAACGTAAGATTTTACATTAGCTTGGCTTTTTATAAGTGCAAGAATTGCATTAAATGGTGTCTATCAGAAGAAAAAACTGCTTGTATAATGGTTTTCCATCTGTAACTCTGTAAATCTGTTTTGAGTAGTTGGGAAGCATATAACTTTAATGATAAAATGTTTTTCTGAGGAAGAAAGTGGTAGCCTACCATCCATGTCACCCCAGAAAACATCCTTTCTTACAAAATTCTCATCTCTAAAGGTGAGAGTATTTGTAGAAGATTTAAAATGAAGTTCTCAGTAGTTAGATTAAAGGCTGAGAACAATCCAGGAATAAAATTTTTTCAAACTTTTTCTTAACCAAACTAGAGCTATACTACTTGAGTTGCACACATCTGGACACCTACTAGAAGGCAGCAAATAGGATATTTCCTTCATCTTTTCTAGATTTTTACAGACCAGTTACAGCAGCCCTCATAAACCAACTAGTATAGGTATTCCTTGTTCAATGACCACAATTAAAACTCGCAACTCTTGTTGCTTAGCAACACGGTTATTAAGGGAGACATCACATGACTGCAACAGGTTTACAGCCTCACTTGCATCGTGGTCATTAAGCCAATCATCCACAGCCATTAAGTAAGACAACCAGGGGTGGGTTCCACTTACCTTTACTACCGGTTTGCAACGGGAGCACGTGTGCGCACTTGCTTCGCTCGTGCGCGCTTGCTTCTTCACACGTGCAGATCATCAGTGATGACATCGTGGCAAGTGGGTGGAGCCTCCCGCCACCATTACTACTGGTTCGCAAAAACCGGACCGAACCGGGAGCAACCCACCACTGAAGACAATCCCTGACTGCAGCTTGTGATTTTACTGCTGATTTCTCCATTGACCTTGCTTGTCAGAAGCTGGCTACGGATCAAGTAAATGGCGATCACATGACCATGGAAGGCTACAACTATTTAGTCTGAGCTTCCCAAATCTCAATCATGTGACCAAGGAGATGCTACAACAATTGTAAGTGTGAGGACCAGACATAAAGTTATCTTTCCAGCAACCTCTAATATTTAAACAGTTCCTAAATAGGGTAGTCATTAAGGCCTACTTTTTAATTATACACGGAAGATTATTTAGCATCTTCAAACACAGGTAAAAGACTTCTTTATCTGAACAAGACTTTGACCATTTCACTGACTGATGACTGATTTTGAGAGACCAAATCTCTAATCTTGGAGTATAGGTATTAATAAACCAATTCTAGCCAATTATAATTTAAGACATTACTAGCAGACATCCAGGTATGTGCTGCATGCATCGAAGTAAATAAATAAATTAGTTTTAGAAATATTCTCAAACTCCAGACTTATTTTTTTAAAAGACCAATTAAGTTCTACATACGGTAGTAGCTGAAAATCTGAACTACAAATTATATGCCTCTGGGTCAATTTCCCTAAAATCTGTAGAGGGTCTTACGCTAGCAACTTTCTCTTGTCTACTGTATTTCTTTTTTTTATTAGTTTTATTACAATATAGCTTGTTTCTTAACCCAAATATTAAGGCATGAGACTTGTTTAAATGT